ATATATATATATATATATATATATATTAGCCGGGTCCAAGGATTGATTGAGACCATGAGTTTGAGGCTGCAGTGAGCCATGATGGTGTCACTGTACTCCAGCCTGGGTGACAGAGGGAGACTCCATTTCTAAAATAAATAAACAAATAACTACTTAAAAAAAAAGTGGGATGGGGGCTTTAGGACAGGTTTAGCCATCATTCCTGGGAGAATAGTCCCACAATCACACGTGCTTTTAAACAAGTCTCAAAGATCACTTTCAAAAAGTAACTCAGTTGGGAATGATAGTTACACACACACACACACACACACACACACACACACACACACACACACAGGAACTCAAGGACAGGTGCAGCAGCACTTTGAGAGGCAGAGGTGGGAGGCTTGCTTGAGCCCAGGAGGTAGAGACCAGCCTAGGCAACACAGCAAGACCCCATCTCTATTTTTTAAAATAGAAAAACAAAAAGTAACTTGGTTCAATGTTATTTTACTGAGCTAATGAACATATCACAGCAAGTGCATAGGGAAACTTGCCTAATGTTATGCAAATGAGAACTTGGGTTTGGGGTAACAATTCCAGGCTCAGCACCCACCTTGGAATCAAGTGGTACATGTCACATAACATGGACCTAAGTGATATTGCAGAGCGCTGGAAAACCAGGCTGGGGGATTCCAAAAGTGGCCTTGGGACTTCAAAGACACTCAGGGCAAGTTTTAGCAAAATCTTTTGAAATGTGAACTGGGAGAAGCAATCATTTATAAATTAACATGCTGTTAATTATCTAGTACAGGATTTTGCATATGTATAAACATTAATAAATGAACATTATATATTCATATGACTTGTTATATATCAATATATAGTACATGAAGATGTGTATATTAATATAACAGTGATCAATGAACTATTACAATAACATATTGGACTATTTTACCATTATTTTTAACCTTTAATTTTCTTTTTTTTTTTTTTTTGAGATGGAGTTTCGATCTCATTGCCCAGGCTGGAGTGCAGTGGTACAATCTCAGCTCATGGCAACCTCCGCCTCCCGGGTTCAAGCAATTCTCCAGCCTCAGTCTCCTGAGTAGCTGGGACTACAGGCATGCACCACCACGCCCGGCTAATTTTTTTTTTTTCTTGTATTTTTAGTAGAGAGGGGGTTTGTCCATTTTGGTCAGGCTGGTCTCAAACTCCTGACCTCAGGAGATCTGCCCTCCTGGGCCTCCCAAAGTGCTGGGATTACAGGTGTGAGCCACTGTGCCCGGACCTTTCTTTTTTGAGACAGAGTTTCGCTCTTGTTGTCCAAGCTGGAGTGCAATGGCACAATCTCGGCTCACTGAAACCTCTGCCTCCCAGGTTCAGGTGATTCTCCTGCCTCTGTCTCCTGAGCAGCGGGGATTACAGGCGTGTGCCACCACGCCCAGCCGGATGTGAACCCAGCTCTGCAGTAGCCCAGGTTCTTCCCCTTCGATGCTGTCCCTGACTGTGCTGAGGAACTATGGGCAGGGTCTTTGGATCCCATAACCTTGTCACCTCTGGGAGGCTCTGCCAGCTACAGCCTGGACACCCAGGGCCTCCACTCCTTCTTCCCAACACTGGGTGGGGGGTCACCGCCCTGGCCCTTACCTGGGACAGCCATGTCTGGGCGTCCAGGATACTCAAGAGGCTGTGGGGCTGGTCTACCAGGAGGTCCAGGCAGGACTCCCTCGGAGGCTGAGGGACAGGCACCCAGGACAGCAACTCCCGCTGACACTCCTCCTGGGAACAGCCGGCATTTGGCTATTGCGCAGGAGCAGGGATGACCCTCCCTCCCATCTTTTTATTTTATTTTTAAATTTTATTTATTTATTTATTTATTTTGAGACGGAGTTTCACTCTTGTTACCCAGGCTGGAGTGCAATGGCGCGGTCTCGGCTCACCGCAACCTCCGCCTCCTGGGTTCAGGCAATTCTCCTGCCTCACTCAGCCTCCTGAGTAACTGGGATTACAGGCACGCGCCACCATGCCCAGCTAATTTTTTTGTATTTTTAGTAGAGACGGGGTTTCACCATGTTGACCAGGATGGTCTCGATCTCTT